CAGTTGATCCATCACTCTCTGCATGGAAATGAAAACTAAGTGTTAGTATTAAGTAGTATCTTTAGCTACAGCGGCTCAAAATGAAGGACCCGTTTGGTAACCTTTCCGTTTTTGGTCTATAATTTTCATTTTTTGGTTAGAGATAGCGAGGAAATATATCATAGAACAAGAGGAATGAAGAAGGGTCAAGGAAGGGCGGTGGGAGGTGGAAGAATTTTGTATGGAAATGCTATGTGAAATGAAAACTAAAAACTAAAAGCAATTCAAAGTGTTTTTCATTTGCAGTTTTTTCTATGTGTGGTCATTTTCAAGCTTATAGGAGTTACCTAACCGCTTAGTCCTAATCCGTAAGTTTTTATGGTGCATACTATGGTTTTGTGGTATATATACAAGAGAACTGATCCGTCGTTCTTTATTAGGTTTTGTTGCTGCTCACACATTGCCGGTTCTGTATGAGAGATATGAAGATCAGGTTGACAACTTTGTATATCAGGTGCTCGGGCAGCTTCAACACAATTACCGGAAGTTGGATACTGGCGTCCTCAGCAAGATCCCTAAAGGAAAGCTGAGCTGGAAGAAGTACGAATAGATTCATGTAGCAACGTAAATGATATTTCCCCGATATCTCTGGAGTTGATCGGATTATCATGTTCCAAAAGAGGTAAATGTAGGGGTAAGAAAAACTGAATATTACTATTGTAGGGACAGAAACCAGACAGTCGTTTGATTATTACTGAAGCATGTATATTGTCCTTGAGAAGTTCCAAATTCAACTGCCAGTTCTCGTTTTGAGATTGTAATCCATAAAACTTAAGCGCACTCATTGTTAGTCTTGCGGTTAATCCAATTTTTGGAAGATGTCCGAAAGTTCGAATCTTGAGAGAGGCGGAAGAATGGAAGATTTGTAGCAGTTGGTTAAGGCATGTGTGCAAGGATGGATCCAAATTCACTCTCTCAGGGATTAAGGTTTTGAGGTTTTCGACCAAATTTAGATTACTTGTAGCAAAAATTTAGCTGCTAAAAGTAAAGTGGGCAATTTAGTTAACAAAAGCTAGCTGACCAAGTAAATGGTTAATTAACCGGATATTATCTTGGTGGATAACAACTTGTTTGTCAATGCCAATCCATCCATACTGTCTATAAGTTGTTGGTTGTCAACCTCTAGTACAATGCAATGAATGAAAGCCGTAAGCAGTGGCGGAGCCAACATGAGGTCATTAGCTGCTGATGATCCGAATAGCATCATAACTCCGATGTATATTTGTACATAAGTCATATACATAGATGCGACAAACTGAAAGAATGAGTTAAAATCACTAAATTACAACCTGCCTCTTTTTTTTTTTTTTTTGTGCAATCTTGTCATATGTCGTAGATTTTCTTCTTTCTTTCTTTTGTCTTTCTTCTCATATTTTTTTTGTGCGACCCTATTCACACTCGACACGTCTAGGCCTAATTCCAATATGATCGATTCGATTATTTCTCACAAAAAGCAAGGATGACAATAATCAGATTGGGAATTTCAGGAAGATTTTTGGGCAGGCATAGAATTTCTCTGATCTGCTTCCATTCCCTACTGCATGACTGGGCCTCACATAATACACACCTTCCTAGTTTTTTTCCATCTTCTAGTGGAGTTGGCCCATTATTCTTTGGGCTATAAGCTGAAGGGCCCAGTTATATTTCGTAATGAGGAATTTGAAATGCATTACACACTCTATCTATTGTACTGCTTTTCTAACCAAATATATGCTTGAGATTGCATTTGAAAAGGCACTAACAGTTTGAAAATGCTTCTTTAAAAATTACTTTTGATAGGCAAATTTGAACCACATTATTACTAGCCAATTGTGAAGCTAAGCCCACCCCTCCTTTTAGTGTAGATACTATCGATTGTTTTAAAAATAAAAAAAAATTACTTTTGTTCATAAGCGCTTTAAGTAAAAATTCGGAGCTAGTTTGGAAGTAGTTTTAAAATAACTGAAAGTACTTTTGGTGAAATTGATTTTGGGTTTCAAAAGCAGCTAAAGTGCTTTTTGGAAGACGACATATATGTGTTTCTTGCATGAACTACTTTTCAAGATCCACTTGAATTTTTACCAATGATTGGTTTCAAAAACATTTTCAATAAAAGTGCTTTTAGTCATTTTAAAAGTATTTACAAACAAACTTGAACTATTAAAAATACATCAAAATTTATAATAAATATGCACATGCTTTCAGGAAAATAAAAAACCTTAGTGCTTGACACAGAAACATGTAATAAGCAATCAAAAACAAAAAAAAAAAAAAATTCTACATAAGAGCAGAAAATGCATGGGACTCTCTCTCTCTCTGGTTTCTCAACCTTGCAAACTCCTTTGCTGCCAGCCCCAGCCTTTGGCTTGGGTGCCGGTGGCTATCCTTGTCTAAGTTCCTTGTTCTCCTCTTTCCCTCTTTCTCCTGATCCTCTTCTCTCTTTTTCAATTTTACCCTAAGATTTTTCTAAGTTTCCTTAAGCTTTGTCTCAATTTTTCTGTGAGTTTGTCTCACTTTTGGACTTCATGTCCCTCATCTCCACCCCTCCCTCTCCTCTGGCTGTTCTTTTCCAAACCTAAAACTTCATTTCCCCCTCACTGTTACCTTCTACCTCCCTTCCCCATAAACCATCCCCACCCTATCCTTTGCTTTGATCTGCAGACTTCGGGCTGAATATAGTTGTCAGCTTTATTTCCCTCCCTCACTCCCCCTCCCCACCCCCCAAAAAAAAGGGCTTGCCTGATTTCCATTGAGGCCAAGTGTACTACGGCTTCGGCTAAAGTAAGGGTATTTTACATACCCCCTTAGCCTCACCCTTTATCCATGTGTTATTGTGTTTGTATATATTTGCTGGGATTTGTGAATGAGATTTGGATCTGGTGACTATCTTTTGGTTTTGCGTCTTTGGCGAAGAACTCTGGATGTGGTGTGCTTCTTGTTGCGGGTTTGGTACTTTTGTGATGCGATGTCTTGTTCGTTTTCACCACTCAGTCGTTTTCTCTAGTGTTGCTGCTTCGGTAACTGTTGGCATGACTTTCGTGGCGGTGACGGCGGCGAATGCTACTTTTTGCTGTCGAAAATTAAGGATTTGGGTTCCCGTTTTAGTTTATTTAATTAAGCTAGACTTTTATGTATCTGTTTTTCCCAATGTATTTAGGTGATTTTACCTTCCTTTGAATTGGCCTGTAACCTACTACCGGATTAATCATTTATCTTTTCAAACCAAAAAAATAAAAAATAAAACATGTAATAAGCATTTATTACATAAACCACTTCAAGGCTTTTGATCATTTTCAAACAGCTTAGGATTTCACGTCCACAGTCCAAGCGCACTATAAAGGGATGTTGCAGTAGCATCGCAACTGAATCTAACCGTTGATTATAGCTTGCTTGTGGATCAAACAATCATCATGTTATTGAATCGTCCTGCAGTGTTCTCCCAAACCATCCATCCCCCGAGTTGTATTCTTTTGGTCTGGCAGTGTGAACTTAGTTAAAGTCTCGTCACTTGATACTGATGGCTCAAGCAATTCCAGCCGTCCATATTTCATGGAACCTGAAAAATGAAGACGAACGTGTACACTCTGAGGACCATGTCTCTCTTCACTCAAAAGTCATCGATCCTAGCTCTTCAATCTTCAATTCTTCACCCAACCATCACAAACTACTTCTTTCACTCCTCATTAATTTCCCACAAATCTTTGTCTCCGCCCTTCTAGATTTCTTTGGAGTTTGGAGTTCTAAAACTTCAGAAACCTCACTTTCAGAAAAGTACCTTCCGACTTTTGGAAATCTGACTTGGTTTTTGTCATAAACTTTTTAGAATTCGAAAACCCATTTGCTGTTTTGGATTGGTTTTGTGTTTCTTGAATTGGGTTGGTTCCTGGGAACCATGGCTATGCATGTCAGCAATGCATGTTTTTCTGCTTTGAGTGAGAGGAGAGTTCTTAGGGTTAGAGCTGTTGCTTCTGAGAACGTGACCACAGAGGATGATAAGGTGAAATTGGGTGGCTCTGATTTGAAGGTGACAAGGCTTGGGATTGAGCTTCCAGTGGGATGGTAAGTTGCTGAATTTCACTTAAACATTACTAAAATGATTAAATAACTAAGAATTCGTTTTCAAATTGGAGAAATTTTGAGCCTTTATTATGTCTTTGTAGATTAACTTGTACCATAGCAGACCTCGGTGTAGCCACATTGGCCAGAGCGGATGTGCTCCTCCCCTATGCACTCGAGTTTAGATTAGTTAAAAGTAAAATATCACTTGAATCAAAAGAAAAACTTTTAGCATATGAAAGACTGTTTTTAATTTTGCCTCACTTTTTGCACCTTTAATAACAATGTGAACCCATCACTGGCTTCAGATTGAACATTAGAAGTGAGTTGCATTTGTATTATCCATCTTTATACTAAATTACTCAATTGTGTTTGTGATGGCATTATGTTTGGTAATAACTGCAGACAGGAAAATGAAAGTGGCCAAAGCTGCTTTCGATGTCAATATTGATGGTGGAATCACCTTCTTTGATACTGCTGAAGTGTGCGGCTCCAGGGTGAGAAAAACGTCTTATAGTTCTTTCTATAAAATTTGTTGCAGTAAAAACAAATTCAGCGTTATCTATTCTTGCAGGCTTCTTTTGGTGCTGTAAATTCTGAAACTTTACTAGGAAGGTACATTGTGGGAATTTTTTGTGCTGCATCATTCTTGTTTCAAGTTAACAGAGTCCAGTTAATTGTCATCGGTTTCTGTATTTTGAGAATATTAGTAGACTACTTTGAATTTCGCACAGATTTATCAAGGAAAAGAAACAGAAGGATCCAAGAGTAGACGTTGCTGTCGCAACCAAATTCGCAGCTTTGCTGTGGAGGCTAGGTCGTCAAAGTGCCATAGCTGCCCTCAAGGATTCCCTCAATTGCCTTGAACTTTCTTCGGTGAAACTGTATTAACTCCATTGGTATGTCCCTTATGAGCCTTTGCTCTTTGTAAAAATACTTGTTTCTGCTAAGGTAACTACAAAATCTTATCAAGTGTTTGTATTATTTTTCAAGCCTGAAATATGGGGAAATGAAGGTTGTTCATAACTTCATATGTAACACCATTTTTTCATTGAAGAGGTGTATTTGGGAAATCAATTTTCAGGGTATCTTGATGGTCTTGGAGATGCTGTTGAGCAGGGCCTTGTGAAGGCTGTTGGTGTTTCCAACTACAGCCGTATAATTCGATCTTTTATCTATTTATTGTTGGTTAAAATAAGCAGTTCAAATCATGGAAAAAATTTCTATCATAGATGCTCCTAACGAGAACATGACGTATAAAGTTTGTTATTTCAGAAAAGCAATTGCGTAAGGCACACGCAAAACTTCAAAATAGAGGTATCCCACCAGCATCAAATCAGGTGAATTACAGCCTCATATACAAGGCACCAAAGGAGAATGGTGTGAAGTTTACCTGTGATGAACTTGGGATCACTTTGATTGCCTATTCGCCTATTGCTCAAGGTGAAGTTGGAACCTCGTGTTTTCTTACCATATTCTCATCATCACTCAATATGTTAGCTTAAGAGATATAATGTCTTCTTATTTTACAGTATTAAGACCTCTCTGTATGATCTTAAACATTACCAAGTTAAGGATTGGGAGAAAGCATACTTGCTCACTTTTCTCAGTCAGCATTTGTGAAATTTCGAATTTTCGAGCATTCCTTGTCAAGCAGTTCTTAACTTCAACTTTATGATCTTATTTATTTTATGTTTCATGATAGATATGGACTTTAGTTGCGCAAATAAAGACTCACCTTTTAGGCTATATACACTTGAAAATCCCCCAACTAGCCCTCGAAGGCAAATTTATACTCCTGAAAATTTTCAAAGGTAAATCATAGTCAATACTTTGAAAGCCCGCTACAGATTAAGTTCCAAATTGTTTTGCTAAAATATTGCTTTTATCTGCAGCTCCAACCTCTGCTGAAGCGGATCAAGGCAATAGGAGAAAAGTACAGTAAAATAAACACACAGGTTTGTTGATGCTCTTTTGACTTTAACTAGCTTTTATCTTTTCCATATTAGAAGCCCTACAATTTTCATTTCTGTGGAAGCATGGCTGAAAATATCCCCAAAAGTACAGTACTTTAGTAGTTTATCCATTTTGGACCCTTTACAAGTATGAAACGCTTCATAGATGCCGTTGCAACTTCTAGTTCATGCTGAAAGAAACTCTTTGTTTTCACCGTCTTTTATACATGTAGTCCAACTCGTGGTAGTTTCATGTTTTCCGTATAAGATCATTAAACTACTTATTGATATATCAGGCAAGAATTCTGAAATACAAAAATACGTGTTGGGGTATTAAAATGTGTAAATATAGTTTGTTCTTTTTGTTGGGTTTTAATGCGAGTCGGGTTACTGTAACAGGTAGTCCTAAACTGGTTGATAGCCCAGGGCAACGTTGTGCCAATCCCGGGAGCCAAAAAAGCAGAACAGGTTGCAGAATTTGCAAGTTCACTTGGATGGCGGCTCAACACTGAAGAAGTAGCCGAATTGCGCGCTCTGGTTATAGAGATAAAACCTGTTACCGGTTTCCCTGTTGAAAAATTATAAATTCTTACAGAAGCATCGGGGCTGTAAATTCTTCTATACAAAAGTATGTACACACTTCACATCTAATGCAAATTTGACATATCTAATTTAAGAGTGATTGCAGGCTGACCATTGATGTAGCAAATTTGACATATTTCAAATCTATAGCCACACTATTACTAGTAAGCTTAGTCACACTAACACTGCCATTGTGGTCTTAGAACAAGTTCATAAGTGTTTCTTCATATGGAAACGATACGGTTAGAGAACTAACATCAAATGACAGTTCTCTGTTTCCGTCTTCAGATACGAGTAGTTATGACTTACAAGGCAAAAAATAATGTTTAACTTAAAAAATAAATTGAAATGCTCATATAAATACTTAGATAAAGACATTTTGTTTGTAAATTGAAAAATAAATCCAAGATTTCAAACATATAACTTGGAAGATGAGGGAAAAAAAGCATATAGGTACTGTTTGTACCATACTTGACCAATCCCGAAACTACTGAGCATCGGTCAACGTTATACCGTCAAGGACCTAGAAGAATTTCCCTACAACCAGGAGACCAATCACAGCGCAACACGTGTCGACAGCAGAAGCCAATCGTAATGCGACACGTGTCAGCATCAGAAGCCAATCACAACACGACACGTGTCAATGTCAGAATGAAACTAGAAACTCTCTTCTATAAATAGAGATCGTTCTCTCACAATATTTCATAATGTCATTTGTACTAAATCATTCACTAGTACTCACTAAAAGAGAGCTTGAACCTATGTACTTGTGTAAACCCTTCACAATTAATGAGAACTCCTCTACTCCGTGGACATAACCAATCTGGGTGAACCACGTACATTTTGTGTTTGCTTCCCTGTCCCTATCCATTTACATACTTATCCACACTAGTGACCAAAGTAATCTAGCGAAGGTCATAAACTTAACACTTTCTGTTGTACCAAAGTCCCCACTGATTTTGTGCATCAACATTTGGCGTCGTCTGTGGGAACGACACTTATTCCCACTCTCTTCAACTTTGTCAAGTTGGTTTCCACCATTCATACACTCTCTTTTGACTAGGCATCCCTCTCCAACATGGGGAGCGAAGGAATCCACATCACACAGAATGACACCCCTCTTGCACCTAGTGCGAAACAACGAAAGAATGAAGGAAAGAGGGTTGCTTTTCAAGCTAAAGTCGATGAGCTAGAAGCTCAAAACAACAAGATAGCAACGAAGAATAAGGTCCTTCAGGAGCAGTATGAGAAGCTCTTTGAGACGCTCTACGAAACTATGCGTACTCAAACACGCGAGCTTGTTGCCCCTGTGGACATCAACCATAATCTGGGTGCCCCCCAACACAGAGGGTCACCTTCCTTCGACATGGGTATCCTTGATGAGGAGCGAGCTAATCATCAAAACATTGATCAACATGAGACTTCTCTCAACCCAACTGATTCGACCCGAAGTAGGAGAAGTGGAGGAAGACACCTCCTTGCAGAAGGGTTGGAAGGATCGAAAGCTGTTTATCGTGACTGCCGAGACTTCCTAAAGCAACGTCGAGAGAATCCCCTCCACATATGCTCGAAGATCAATGACCCAAGGGTTTCTGAAAGACTCGGTCCCCTCCCACGACCCAGGCCAGCTACCAATCTAGGGAAGGAACGACATGTCCTAGAGGAACATGAAGGTACAAGGACAGACTCGCCCTAGAAGTCAGTACGGCGAGTCCAAGGAAAAATCACATGCCCTTGCTCAAATTTTCCTACTTCCAAGAGGCGATGGAGACTTATGAAAGAAAATCCCAATGGTACATGACTCCACTCAACACCTCATTGTCTTACAGCTCATTGAGGAAGTAAACAAGTTGAAGGCCGAACGTCAGGCCGAGATACTTGACTGGAACCAACCCAGGCCTGGCCCTCTCACAAGGAGGATCCTTGACACCCCCCCTTCAAGCGAAGACAAAACAAAAGCTTGGTTTACAACTCTATATTGGAAGTGAGGACCCAATTGAACACCTTAACCTCTTTGAGTCCACCATGGCATATCGAATGCACACCGACGAAGAGCGATGTCTTCTCTTCCCCTCCACCCTCTCTGGCGGAGCTCTAAATTGGTATTGCCGTCTTCCACCTGAGACAGTAGACTTATTTAAGAAACTGAGGAAACTGTTTGTCTCTCAACACATCTTCCAGACCGATCGCTTGCATTATGTAGATGACTTGTACACTATTCGTCAGAAGCCGGATAAGTCACTACGAGAGTATGCTGGTCGTTTTAGCCATGAGTATTCTTGCTGCACTGAGGCAGATGACAATACCGTCCTCAAGGCCTTCACTGCAGGCCTACGTGATTGTTCTTCAAGTACATGATCAATGCCAACACTTAGAATACTTACTCTGAGGTGATGGCACAGGCTTACAACCATGCCTCCGCCGAGGCAAGGACATATCAAGGGAAACCCCCCACAACCACCCTTTATCAACAAGCAGGGAGTGGAAGCCAGATCCAACCAAATGAGAAGACCTTGACCTTCCAAACGGCAGCGGTGCCTTCCCCTGCCTTACTTAATACTTTGCCAAGTCAACAGACATATCAATCTCAGGGTAAAAGGAAAGATTTCCATCCTCACCAGTCTCATTTTAGTAAAAGGAGTAAGGGACACTACCATAATAACCAAGGGTATCGCCATGATAATCCCCGACCCCAGGCAGTCAACACAGTGGGTCAAGCACGTGTCAGGACAGCCCCTACCCCGAGGTATGAGGCATACACAACTTTAAATGCGACATGCGTGGCCATTTACCCCAGCATAGCACATTTGATATCGAAGCCAAAGCCGAGGCACTCGGATTACAAGCCCACGAAGAACACGGGCACGTTTTGCTACTACCACAAGCATAACGACCATGACGGCGAGAAGTGTATCACCATTCGTGATCATATTGAAGCTTTGGCACGTGAAGGAAAAATTGATCAATTCCTCCTTCACCCTCAAAGGGGTAACCGTAACCAACGCCAGGTAAATGTGATATATTCCATAAGTGGTGGCACACCCATATCTAAATCTACCAACAGGGCTATGAAAAATAGTGAACGAGCTTTAAAGTCTGGCCACCAAGTGTTTCACGTGGAAGACATCAGGGGAGGTAAGTATCAAAAGCCTAATTGGGATCTAATATGTTTCTACCCTGAGGAAGAAAGAGGTATCATCTACCCTCACAACGACCCACTGATCGTGGAAGCTCATATAGCCAACTTTGAAGTATGACGAATCCTGGTAGACACGTGGGCTTCGGTCAATATCATGTTTGTTGAAGCTTTCAGGGTACTTAATGTAGCTGAACACTTGCTCGATCGCTCGATTTCCTCTCTGATAAGCTTCTCCGGTGATATCGTGCAACCTTTGGAGAGCATTCACTTACCTTTCACCATTGGTACATGCCCTTACATAACTACCATTACCACTAACTTCCTGGTGGTTGATTGCCCAACGACATACAATGCCATATTCGGACGCACAGGCATCAATGATCTTAAAGCTATGATATCCACACATATGTTGTTGATGAAATTTCTAACCACCTATGGCAATGGTTACATCAGAGGAGATCAACTTAGCGCACGATCATGTTATAACACTTCGGTTAAGCAACAACACCTGTATGTGCCTAAGGAAACCCTTTCTATACATGACCAAGTCATAAAGACCAGCCCAGACGAAGCCAACTTGGATCTTCACGGTGGCAACAGTCAACCCGATGATTCTCGAGATGACTCTTTCACCCAGCAAGCACAACCCGTTGAAGAGTTAGATAAGGTCTCTATCTCAAAAGATTATCCGGATCGCATGGTGAAGATCGGTACCACCTTGTCACCACCCATTCGGTTGGCATTGATCTCTTTTTTGCAAGAGAACACTGAGGTCTTCGCCTGGTTATACGAGGACATACCAGGCATCTCTCCTGATATAATCTATCATCGCTTAAGTATTGACCCCAAGACCAAGCCCGTGAGACAGAAGCGAAGATCTTATGATGCTGAACGGTACGAGGCAATGAAGGCAGAAGTTGAAAAACTCAAAGGCATAGGCTTCGTCCGCGAAGTCAATTATCCAACGTAGGTAGCAAATGTTGTCCTTGTTAAGAAGAATCCGACCAAGGAAAGTCTCCTGCTCCAAAAGGTCTTGTGGAGAATGTGTGTCGATTACATCGACCTAAACAAAGGATGCCCGAATGATAGCTTTCCTCTTCCTCTCATAGACAGACTTATAGACTCTACGACAGGGTGTGAACTCCTGAGCTTCATGGATGCTTTCTCAGGATACAACCAAATCCTCATGAACCCTCCGGACCAAAAACACACAGCCTTCACTACTGACAGGGGACTATATTGTTATAAAGTCATACCCTTCGACCTAAAGAATGCAGGAGCGACTTATCAGAGATTGGTCAATTCAATGTTTGCCTAACAGATTAGGAAAATCATGGAAGTTTACGTTGATGATATGCTAGTCAAGAGTAAACATGCTGACCAACACATTACCAACCTATCTGAAACTTTCACCATTTTGAAAAGGTATCAAATGAGGTTGAACCCCAACAAATGTGCCTTCGGCGTAGGCTCGGCAAATTTTTAGGCTTCATGATAAGCCAACGAGGCATTAAGGATAATCCCGAGAAGATCAAAGCAATCCTCGACATGAAGGAACCGGTAACTTCAAAAGACATCCAGAGGCTTACTGGCAAGGTGGCAGCCTTAACTAGGTTAATCTCTAAGGCCACAGACAGATGTGCTTCTTTCTTTAAAGCACTTAAGGGAAGTAAGAAGTACATTACATGGACTGATGAATGTGCTGAGGCATTCAAGAACCTCAAAGACTACATGAGTAAAGCCCATTTGCTCTCCAAACCTGAGGTTGGTGACACTCTCATTATCTATTTGTCGGTATCGGCTTCAGCAGTAAGTTCTGTTCTCATTCGAAAAGATGGTAATGTTGAACGGCCTGTCTACTACGGTAGCAAAGCCTTACAAGATGCGGAGACACGATACTCCAACATTAAGAAATTAGCTCTAGCATTGGTCATGTCTACTCGAAAACTT